CGGAGCTACAGCACTCAGTTAAACTCGGTTAGGTAACCACAGAGGCTATGATGCTTCGGTTCAATGGAAAAGTAACGGATGAAAACTGACGTAATTAAGGAGTCTGTTTCGCGGTTTATACCCAAGAAGCTTTTCTGGTTATGGGTAAACTGAAACAGGATTCTAACCTTTTACACGGAGGCAAAAAAGCATATACCCAGGCGCCAGAAGCTCGGAGGAGTGAGGCGCTTCGGCGACGAAAAAAACTGACTTTTTGGTACGGCCTTGCGAATGTAGAAACGCGCAACATGAGAACGCGAATGCCCTTGCGGCATCGTTCTCTCAGCTCACTAGCGTACGTATCAGCCCACTTTCTGAACGGAAACAGCTGGAACTGAGGTAAACTTGGTCCATTTTCAATCGCAAAATGTCAGAATTACATCATCCCGAGTTCGACAACACAATTTTCAACATGGTTAATGTGATACCATGAAAACGACCATTAACATCTTAAAAGATTGCCATAGAAGGATTTTGGTAGCAGTACGAAGAAAGAGGATCGCCATTACACTGGGATAGTTGGTAAAACGAGTAAGCCGTTTAAAAAAACTGATACAGTTGTTTATCGTTATTCGGTCATGTTTAGGCTGACAGCAGGATGGCAAGTGGCATAGTTGTTCATCTGCCGATCTTATCCTTTCGAGTCTAGATCAGTTCTTACGGACTTGCATGCAACATCACATGTAGGTCCGATTCAGGGCTCGTGGGTTGTGCTGTCCGATAGTGCACCGGTGTTCGGTGGTTGGCGAGTTCGATTCAGATGGAAGTCATTCACGAAAAAATACATCCTATAAAGGAAGATGATAACATACGACCGAGAAGTTTTAAGCGTTGATGAAAATCTGCACAAAACACTTTGCTTCTCGGCAACGTTTGTTTGTAATGCAATATGAGCAGCAAGTATTTTTTCTTACTACCCCGATTTAGAGCATCCGTAGAGAGATATCCATCCTCAGCTGCTCTGTTGAATTGCCGCAAAACCTTGGAAATGGCCTCGGAGATCAACGAGTCACCACACTGTGGCTAGGATAATTTTAAACGAACGTCGTGGATTTTTGTGGTGAGCCCCGGAAGCACGAAAATGAGTCACTACTAAACAGTGTCTTGGAATGTTAAAGAGTGTCTAACTTCAGATGTGTCCACATCAGTAGTTGGTAAAAGTAGACTAACGGAAATGGAAAATGGCGAAACTAGCTTGGAGTTATCGAAAAATTTCCAGCTGACCATATATATAGTGTCGTACCAAAGGAAATATTTCGATGGTTCACATATAGTTTCAACCGAAATATGAGACGGCCATTGCGTAACGAGTTCATTCGGAAAAATCCCAGTAGTCGGTCATTTAAGCCTACCGATAGTATGATCGTATTTGCAACCGGACGTTTTATTTCGAAAGCCCTCAACCTGCCGTTCATATCGGAAATGAGTGCGGTAAAATTTGGAGATGACTTTAGATGACAACTTCAAAATGGTCAATGGTGAAACACCCGATGTTTTTTTATTAATATATGCTTAGTATCTCTAGACTGAACTCTGTTTACTTTAAAAACAAATCAGTCAACTTCGTAATAGAACGTTGGATGTTAGGTTGTGAATGGTGACGAGCGTTAATACGTAAACTTTCATTAGAACACCGTTAGAATTCGGTCACTTGAAACATTATCTTTACTTACGATGCTACGTCCTAATGGCAAGCGTGATATTTTCGACCGTTCTTGAGAAGAAAAGGAAAGTAGCTTAAAATTAATCGCGAAATTGTATCCTTATCTAAGGCGGAGTACACGACTATTGGTAGTTTAGTTATCTGAGGTGCAATTCATTATGTATAAATGAGTCGCTTTCGTTATCCTTGTACATTTGCGGTCGCCAAAGGCACTGGATAGAATATACTGATCGGAAATGTACCATTCGGAAACTGTTATAATGGATGCGAATTAGGTGAGACCGCTGTACTGCCGAGAACGGGGAATTCGCATGTCTTTTGTTAATACATAAATTTATATGCTATTTTCGCGTAGCATCTGGAAGACATGCAGAGTGCTTTGAGATGGTCCAGACTATTCTGGACCAGTCTTGCATCCACAATGACAAAACGTACCTACTACCAAATACAATAAAATTACTCCTATGGCAACTTGCAAATTATAAACGTTCTTTATTCTCGAACTCAATTTTACTGGTTTTTATCACACAGTGGACTGGCGGGTATGCCGCTCGCAACACACGTTCAGTTCATCTATCCTAACGTACGGATTTTTTGTCCATTAGTTCTCATCCGCGCCTCGCGAAGCTTTTGACGCAAATGTGAACGTGCTGTCAATCTAACTATCCCGATGGAAACGAATGAGAAACCGTTATTATCAGAGCACATTTGTACGGACGCATTTATCGATGCTACTCTATAATTTATGCCTCAAAACATTACTTCTTTGACCAATACAATTTATACCCTTGTCTTTTGATCAAATTACTTCACTGAATGGTAACCTTCAACTTCAAAGCGATGTAAATTTTTGCAAGCACGTAGAGGGCGCTTAATAAGAATTGGTTGAAAATCTGTTTGAATACAAAATTTGAAACTACTCTGTTAACCACTGAGGCCAGTGAATTGTGAAATAACTAAGGCTTCCTAGTTTTAAACAACTGTACGCCGATGGATGACAGTCTGACTCTGCAGGCTGTCGATTAATTTTTAACAGTCTTTTTATTGTTGTGGCTGTGATGGAAATAAGTGCAGATTTTTTTCAACCCCATGTAACCTACTCGAAAAAGACTTCAAGGTCCATCGATAGACCACCACTGATTCGGTCCTGCTTGTGTTCCATCAAGCATAACTGGTTAGGTTGGTTTTCATTTCGCGATTAAACGAAAACATTAACCTATACAAAGTTGAACATTCACCTGAAAGCCAAGATACCGTGGGCGCTACGCTTGAACAGATCGCATATTTTGATATAATCAAACCGAATATAAAACGCACTCGCTGCTTATGGGGTTAATTGGAGACCCCAATCTATCATTTTCCCCTGTAGGGCTGAGGAAGAATTATCGACAATCGATCACAGGCTTTATAAACGAAGATTTTGCCTTGTAAGTGAAGCCAACCTCTTCCAAGACCGAGAAACATTGCGCAGCTGTTTCAGCCTTACTGGGTTCACCGGCAGTGCGCATCTAGCAAAACTCCCAGAGTTCCGAACCCACTACTTAATGGCTAGTAGGTCGAACAGGTAAACTCAGCCAAATAGTTAAGTTTTCAGAACGTCTAAACTGCCTCCACGACTGTATCCGCTAGAAAAGTACGTTTTAGACAGCAGTAAAGAACTACAATCTGTACGGACGTTTTTAGGATATCATGTTGTCGCACAAATATATTTTATGCACATTTGCTTGTTAAATAATCGTGCTTGGATTAGCTGTCCTTTTAATTCATCGGGATCTGCCGTTGACTGTTTAGTTGACGAATGGTTCTAATTATGTCTAGTCAAGCTTCAGAAATACAGTCTTTCACGATCACTTGATGACAATCAGGGAAGTTTCTACTACAGGATTGCCATAAGAGGTCACGAATTGCAGCCTTGAGGATGTAAATTTGGCTTATGACTAATGAAATCTATTCGAGGCCTGTATACATTCAGAAGGCGTGCATTCGCAGTGCTTTGTGATTTTATTCCAAATCTTGGATTTAACAATTCTAGAGTATTTTAAACAACAAGAGGGGCGCTATTTCAATCCACTGCTGAAAAGTCATTGCCGAATATCTAAGCATTTCAATTTGCTCTCTGGTTCTACAAGTAATTCTTCAATTAGGTATTTAAAACACTGGGATCCAACGATAAGGCTGGGATAACAATAAGGCTGCGGGCAAACAAGTTTTATACAGTCTGGTCTTTTGCATCGAGTCCAAAGCGGAATAAAACGAAACAAAATTCAGGGAAAACTACATCGTTTATATGGAATTAAACTCCAAGATAACTTATCAGTAAATGAAAGATGGCCTGAAAGTGATTTTTATGTCACTCTGAACCCACAGTGCAGGAGGGAATCGATTAATCAATATTGCCGTGAGGAACTTCAGTAGATGCTTTGATCCATGAAATGGAGTAAAGTTGAACTCTGTGTCCCGTCTCGACCAGATGTCTGGTAATCGATTATTCAGTTTTTGACCTCTCCAAATAAAACCAGGATCAGTAGACATGGTATGAAATCGTTTGAGCAGGTGTTGTTTTGATCGCGTTTCTAGCCTCCGATCAGCTCTACCAGTGTACGTATCTCCGCAGCTGCAGATCAGTTAGTAAGCGTAATGACCAGCTTATAATATTGATTCGAGATTTGATCGGCGGCAATGGCACAGCCCTTGTGGATCGCCTAACGTCAGTTGTGCTACAGTAGGCATGAGGCCACATTTAAGTCCGATTTATGCGGACTAGAAAAAGGATCACCCGTGCAGGAAATATCCCCAGGACCATGACCTACGCCTCTTTATCGTTGTAGTTGATGGTGATGGTCAATGTTTGAGTAATCGCCTGAAAATTTCTGTGAGGTTCACGCTGGTTGCACATCAAACAGACCCGTGACTATCCGAGGTCATTCAAGGTAGACCAGAAGTTCCCGGGTACTTTTGAGCCTTTTGGTCGGCTTAGTGGTGATGAAGCGAATCATTCATAGCGAAAATGTGACCAAAAGTTACTTGTGGTTTATGCGGTTATGAAGATCCGCAAAGTTTAGGCGTGTGATAACCGCAGGTTTAGGTCTGTTACAATGCTTTTGGGGGATAAGACCATGCAATTATGGATACGTAACACACGAACGATCCGCTATTTATTCGGTAAAAGTTAGAGCATAACGGATACAATCATGTCGAGCTTAGACGCACAATTCACTTTTGTTGAGGTGAAGGCATCGAATCGTTTTCCTGGCAGAAAGATTACGATATTCTTATTATTTTGTCCTCAGCTCACACAATGCAATTATGTGCCCATTTACCAGAGGAAATTTTGACGAGGTTGGTAGTAGTAGTTTCTCATATCAGTTGTTTTGGTCCTAAACTCCCGCATGAGCTGGGGTTTAACAAAAGGTATTCGAAATCTGCTTCCACAGCACTGCAGTCAGTTCTCCCTGGCTTGATTTTGATGCTGCATCCAAATGACAGTGAGTCTGGAGGAAGTCGACTAAGGCGAATAACAGAAAAGTCATTCACTTTGGTTTTCACGAGAGACCCAACTGAATATCTCGGTTATGACGTTCTACAACTGAATGTGCCGCACACAGGCCGCCTCATGTTTCAGTTGGCACGATATTCGAAATATCGCAGTATATTTTCATGAAGAAAACTACTCACAAATTTGCTAAACTCTCTTTCGACAGCCCACGACCGATTTCGCCCTTCTTAAGGATCGTAAGGTAGGCGCAGCAGCACTCAGCAGTAATTTATGCCGATTTTCCCGGAAAAGTACCACTGAATTTCTCCAGCTAAACTTGGATGGCAGTTTACAAGTGAAATCTCGCTCACACAAGCCTCATCCTAATACTTCACTGGTTTTCTGCTCATCTTCGGACACCAAGTACTCGTTTATTTTATTTATTGTCTTCATGCCTACCACCACATGTAAACCTTTGAGTTCTTCGGACATTTCTGCACCTTCAAACCTTATCAAAATTGTCGTTTTCCACAACACCAGAACACTTTTGGTAGGTCTCTCCGAGGATCAAAACAAAGCCGTAAATTAAGAAAACATTCACACGCGTTCACAATCTAAAACTGGGGAATGGTGACCTCAGACGGGTGTGTGTAATAATTATTTGCATCTCATAATTGAAAAAGTGAAACCGTTCTCATTGGAACAAAATTTGGCACGGTGAAGCCAACGTTGGTCGTTTCTTAACAATAAGGACAAAAATGCCTTCCCACTTAGTACGACGACATCCAATTGACTTCGCCAGATAGATCAGCGGTTCGCTCATTAGGGAATCAGTAAGTAAAACTTAGTCAAAATTCAGTCAACCTTTACTTCAAATGAGCAACCAAGTATGCATGAACTTTGTTTATTACTCATCCATATATGCAGCTGGCGTGAATCGAGGAGGATGCTTAGCCGGCAATCTGATGGGCCGTAGACTGTAAACCATTTTCCGGTTCTTATGAGTTATTCACGCACAGAATTTCGTAGTTTATTTCCGACTTTAGTAAAAATAAAAAATCGCGAATATGCAAAAAGCAGGCATGGCCGGGGCAAAGGTAAATTTTAGCTTGTCTTTCCATACCTTTTAGACGGAAAACATATGTGGCTTGCATAGGAGAATATCAAACAGGTTAGGACAGCACAGAAAGCCTGTTTACGGTGTTTTGCATATCCATTCTGTAGCAAGGGTGTATTTAAACAAGCTGAGAGACGAGTTCTCACAGTGCAGAGGGAAAAGACCACCTCGGGACTCAGAGGAGTAGATATTACAGAGAGCGCGGAGCTTTTTCACGCTGTTGGTTCAACAAGTTTGATCGAAATTCGGCAATACAGAGCAATGGATTTCATTCGTTTGAATATTCGCTGCGCTATTTCCTCATTTGGCCGATGAGCTAAAATTAATTCAAAGGATTTCGTATATCTTAGACCTGTTCCACATTAGCTCAAATTTTCCATAGATTACAAGTGAGAAAATGCACGATTTTTCAGTTTACGGTATGTCTGCTTCGACCAGCGCCCACTTGCAAATTGATTTTGTGTTAACCCAACATTAGGCTCCATGAATCTTTGGTTTTTACTATTCCATTGCAAAAAAGGTTACCTCATGTTTACTTTGGAACAATGTTCTGGAAGGCGAAAATATTTCCCTACTAGGCATGACGTCGTTTAAAACTCCGGAGAATTCACCATCGATTTCGCTTTATAAATAAGCTCATCCCTCAAACTTCCACTAAAATACCTGAACATTGTATTTCCTATCTAGATGTTTAATTTTGGATTGGTGCGCTTTAGTTTCCTTGGATATTTTTAAGCAGCTGAAATTTCGCAGCCTCTTTTTTGATTAGTATAACTTGAACATTCAAAAATCGTCACCGGTTGACCAAAATACAAGTGAAATATCAATAAACAGCCAGTACGAGCATTAAATCATTTGCACAACCATTTAAGAACGATGTAAGTAAATGTGTGCCGTGTAATGACAACCGACCATCAAGATAATTTTGCAAATTGGATATTGTGTGGAAGCTTCCATTTAAAGTCTATAATGCAGATTTGGTTGCGGGATTGGTAGAATTTGTACTTACATAAATTTTGCTTGAACTGTTCCGCGCGTGTCCAAGCTCATTTATTCACACACAATTATCCTCACCAGATGGGTCAAACAATTCCAAATATCCTCGTGCGACTTCAGCGGCGTGTGGTGTCATCAGCATTACTTGATGCATACAGCAGGTTGGGCAATTGGAAACAGGTTACTACTGATGTCTCTTTTCTTCCTCTTTGACGGATTCCTTCCCTATCCGTCCTTATCCCATTGATGGCTCACTTCTCCTAGGTCACTTGTGAACTGTTAAAATATTACACCCACCCAGTTGACTCGTCCACCACGGTCGCAGACACCTCGAGGTCATTCTTCGAACGCCAATCCTCAGTCTATTTGACAGCCTTTAACTTCAAAATCTCAAAGATGCTATCGCAATTATGCTAGACTCCCCCTTCACTGACGTGTCTCTGAAACAACGATGCCAGGCGCAACTCCCTATTGTTTTTCTTGCTCGTCGCCGTGGCTGGTTGAATGATACTGCTCTAAGCTCGCTAGCTGAAGGATCTCTACTTGAATGGTTCCCGTTAGTAGTCACTCATGTGCTGTTTGTCTGGCAGTGTTTACGTAATTATCCCGTTTACTCCAAGAAACCGTAGCGCTAAGACTCTGAAGGGCAGTACACTGAGCGATTTATTATGTCGGATCAATAGCCAAGATACTGTTATTCCCCTGGATATGGATACACAAGTTGGTGGGCTTGACACTATTGAGGCTCAGTTGGGTGATTGACTGGAATCGAGACGCACATGAACGTCTATTTCAGTTATTTGCTGACTGCAGATGTTTCTATGCAGTACTACCTTCTAAAACGATTGAAGCTAGTTGACCACATGGTGACATCTCATGCGAACCAACTTTTAACGCAGGTGGACTACAGCCTATTGTTCATACGTGACATCGATTAACTACCGAGTGTCGATCGTTCTGGAACACTTGTAAAATATGCCCACGTGTTTGGCCGTCGGTACTCCTTTTTGCACTTTTCGGAAGCACAACCTCGCCTAACTCTCGAACTCTGATGTCAAGCACACCTAACAAAATTGCCTATAGTACTCCCTTTCGAATAATACATCTACTGTTGACCCTTAGCAAAATACATTGTCCGCAAGCCTGCAAGTCTGCTCTGTTTGTGAAACAGCGCAATCAACTAAAGCTGAACACTGGATCAGAAGCCAGCTGAAAAGTTGCATCCACGCGAAACGATAAGCTTGGTATGTCGAGTGGATTGATGAAAATCAGGAAACATAAAAATTTGGGTGAACATAGTCTATTTCAGTCGATATAAGGCAAAAAAGGGCTTGCTCGCTCTTATTAGAGACGGAAGCCTGAATCTTTGGACCGGGCAACTTTGCGACCTGCAACTATTTAATCGGATTCTCAACCCACAACGACCTTGAAACCCTCGCTAACTTCAGAATTAACTAAACGCCTTTCATCCCTGAAGCGCCCTTGAGCTGCGTGGCAACCAGAGTGAGTCGATATTGTCACCCATTGTTTACGAATTTTTTCTCAATGAATTTGACGGTCATAGAATTATTGTCTCGAACCCTGTTGTAACAATAATCTTTGCGTTTCATATTTTAAATTGTCTGTGACCGTGCGCCAGGACCGGACCTGAGACCAGCAAGCGGGATTCTGACTGATGAGAGTTTGTGTGAACCACATCCCTATATTCGTCATGCATATTTTACACACCTAGAGCTCCTTGACATCAGGGGTCTGTCAACGTGTTTATTCTCCTCAACATCTTTGTGCAACGGGTCACAATACAGTAGTGCGTGAATATTATCAGCTGTTTGTATTAACATACTTGTAGGAGCTTCAGTTTATGGCTAGCTCTCCGAAAGCAACGGTATCCATCAACGGTGTTTGCTCTCTCCGTGTTCGCCATTGAGGAGGTACTGTACTCTAGTTGTGATATAAGAGCTCAACACTAGTGCGACAGATAGTGATCCCACGAATATCTGAAGTAAATTAGCATTGTGTGGCAGGTTCTAAGTATCTATCGCGCTGCCCGAATGGAAACTCTTGGTAAGTGATCTGTATGTAGATGCAACCATGAGAATAGTCCTTTAGGTTCAAGTGTGAAAGCTTACACATGTCTGTGAATGATTATTCGGTTGCCTAGGGCCTGCACAGGATTATGAGTGATGATGCATTTGCCTCGCATACAAGGTACCTGGGGTTCAACTTTTGTAAAACCCAAGAACACCCATCCCATTACATATGCAGCGGGCATCTGTATATGGCTGTGCTTACGTACTAAGGATTAATTGTGATTTAACTGACTGTTATGTCCCACTATAAGTAAGTTAGATGCTCAACATTTGACCGAGAGCCAACTGGCTTGAAACTCTGAATTTTGTGAGGTGCTCATTCCTGATGATTCCCAACAAGAAAGAAACAGTTGCACGGTGCTTCTCGGCTCCTCATTATAGACTGTTCCCACTGAAGGAACGAAATCTCAGTGGAAGATTATAAAATCTTCTCAAACTGTGGCAAAAATGAAAAGTTTGACAGAAACCCGAGCGGAGTCTTAAACCTGATTTATTTATGTTTTCGTGACAAACTGCATAGTTTAGCCCCCACTGACGCCCCGCAATTTACTTTTCCTGGCATAGTCACCGCTGGTGATCCGGCTCCGTCAGACAATAGTCCATTTTCTTTCTCATCTGAGTTATGACCGTCTTGTGAAGATGGTCATACATCTACCTTCTGGTTTCTACCCACTGAAATCTACTGTCCTTGGTTCTGTACATAGTGATATACTAGTTTTCAACGCGTGACAACCTAAATATGCATCATTGTCTGCGACTATTAAATTAAAAAACAGCATAGCTTCGGGTTTCCAGTACCATGGACTCCACAGGCGGCTTTTGTAATGCAGTGGCATGATTGTCTGACTAAGTGACATATGCCATTCGTGTAATTTTTCCCCTTCGATGGTACCGTTAATAATCACTGAGGATTAACTGGTCTAGGTAGTTCTTACTCACATATACTTTTTAACCAGTGAAAGAGGAAAAGGCGGTTTATTGTTTGATTACCAACAGTGGGTCCACTTTTATGTAATTAGAGTGTTGGGACACAAAATCATTGCTGTGCCTATTTGCATTTCCAGCTGATGCAAACACTTCCAGAAAGAATCGTTTTCATGATGTTTCCCTATTGATGCTGTTGTTTGTTTGATCAGTAGAATAATATTGAAGGGGTTGAAACAGATGTGCTTGTAAACATTTTTTGAATCCGACGGAGTACCTTCGAAGTTTTGACATCCATTTCATCAGATCTGAGGCTTATCAAGAACCGCAGTCCACTGTTTGTGCGTTCTTTTTTGGCAAACGTACTTATGACTCATTTGCTTATCAAAATGAGACAAACTGTTGAGTCCAAAGAGCGTTAAACAAATATCTGGTTTTTGATGTTGCTTAACATGAAGGCCACTTTAGTGTTGTTTAGTCGGACTGATAGCCGATGTATCACAATATCTTTGATGCAATCGGTATGATTAGCTCCAGCATGACTAAACCGGTGTTGGTCGATTAATCAAGTTTTCACTGACCTTACCATACTACACTGATCATATTCTGCCTCAGATTAGAATTTTGTTCTCAAAAGCTGATGTCTTAATTGGACCGTTTGTTCATTGATCATATGTTTTAGCTGAATGGTCATAAATTCTTGCGATGAATCTGACTATTATCATTCCATTCGACGGGAATTTATAGTCTACGTTTTAGCGGGTTTCAATTAAGATTTTGAGATAAGTTGTTTAAAACTACTTTGGTAATTAAATGAGCGGTGCTTCGACACACTTTGTTGAACTCTCCATTTCAATGCACAAAATGACTATATGCACTAACTCTGTGCTCTCATGGTGAGGTATTACCATTACAAGCATCACGCCGCATTTGTGCACTGCTTTGTGTAACAAATGATCAGGCAAGTTTCCTGAAGTTAATGGGACCAATGTTAAACACCCATACTCTCCAAGTAACCTCCTTCAAAGTCTGCCACGTTCGAAGTTTGTTGAGGACAAACGAAACACGAATACTACTGCCGATATATAAGAAGGGCTCTAACTTGAATCAAAAATGCTCTGGAAAAGATATTAGTTGTAAAGAAGCAATAAACACAACGTCAAACGTTTCAAGAACGTGCAAGCGTGTACTTCAAGATAGCCACACATGACATTTCAGAAGGATAGTTTGAAAAAACTGCTTTTTTGCTGCCCATTAGGTACACTGTCTCTCCAAGACTAAGGGGAATAAGGCACAATCTCACTGAATACTAGTAGCTTCAGATCATTCAAATACGATGCCCATTCTAATGTACTCCACTTGCTTTTGAGAACTACACTCATTTTCAAATAAATTTGGTTTTCACGAGAGACTCAACTGAATCTCTCATTTATGATGTTCTACAACTGAATGTGCTGCACACAGGCCGCCTCATGTTTCAGGTAGTACGATATTCGAGATATCGCAGTATATTTTCATAAAGGAAACTTCTCACAAGGTTGCTGAAGACTCTTCGACAACCCAAGACCAGTTTCGCCTTTCTTGGGGTTCATCAGGTGGGCGCAGTCCCCGAGTTTCCTTATGTTCTACTTGAACCCAAATTTCACTGTTTTCGAGAAATATACTCATTTGCAAAGCCTCAGAAGGACAAAACCGGTCGTGAGCTGTCGAGCACTTTTCAGCAACCTTGTGAATAGTTTACCCCACTTGTTATTTCTGAAGCGCACCAGATATTCGACCGTGGTTCTTCAGTAACCGAGCACCTTCATTTGGATTTCGAACGATTTCACCATAAGACTTTGATGCAACACAACCAGCCACTCAGTGATCGGAAGATTTTGTTTTTGCCTGAAAGCGCTCAATGACATCGG